GAAATGTTTAACTAACTTTTTATATCTTTATAAAGCTGTCAAGGTTTCAAATTTTATCCAAACTTGGACAAAATTTGAAACCTTTACACTTTTTTACAGATATTAAAACATACTCTCGAGTTCCTAATAAACGTTCCCCCCCCCCCCCCGTTTATTAATTTTTGGATATTTTTTCCACCCACCCTAAGCTTATTAAGACCCCCCCCGCCCCCGTTTATTAATTTTTACTTATTATCAACATATCTCATCGGCCTTAAAAAATCGGCCTAAAAATTTTAAAATAATTTTCTGTCACTAATAAAAACAAAAACTTTCAGTCTAAACAGGTTTTACAAATTGTTGACCTATTAAATCTCGATTTGCTAAAAATGAACTTTTATTTTATTTCTTAACAAAGCTTTGGTTTTAATTATAGGATTTAATATGCTGAATAAAAGTTTTATACTTTGCAAAGTATAAAACTTATATCAGCATATTAAATCCTATTGAAATTATGATAAAACTGCCTAACCCTACCCTAACAGCTGTTAGAAAATGCGCTTTTGATCCCCCCCCCCCCCCCATTAATTTAAATTCCCACCCACCCGTTTATTCCCCACCCCCCGTTGTATTCGGCACTCGAGAGTAGCGCCAAAAATCCTGCTCCTATGATTTTGGATGACATGTATGAAATTAACTCTGAATCAAAAAAATTCTGTAAGATTAGTTACAGAAAAACTGTGTTAATAACATTCCTACCACTAATTATTACATTTGGAATATCTGGGTGGAAAAAAGTTAAATAATATTTAATATTTGTGCCTAATAGTTAAAAAAGAAGTGAAGTCGTAGTTAAGTTCATGGCTACCCTCCAATTTTGAAACACTTATTTTCGAACATTTTTTCTATTACATTTTCTGTTTAATTAGGGTACACTATAATTGTTTGTTTTGTTTTTTTATCTTTTTATATTAAATTAATTTTTGTGTGGTTATTAAGTTGCTTCAAAAAGGTGCCAAATATGTTCAGAGTGGCTACGAAGCTCAGTCCTAATGGTTCTAAGCACGAAACTCTGGTTCAAAACTATTAGCGCCAAGTCATAGTTAAAATTATTTAATAAAAATATGTTGCAAATATAAATGAAAACTTGGAAGTTGTTCATATGCCAGGGTGGCCAGCGGTCCTTGAAATCCTTAAAATCCTGGAAAAGTCCTGGAATTTCATAGGTCCTGGAAAGGTCCTGAAAAAGTCCTGGAAAAACACACTTTTTTACAAAAAATCCTGGAAATCCTGGAACCTTTTTTTATAGAGTTCAATACTCCATTTTCTTGTTTTCATCTTTTAAAAAATTTATAGCTTGATTATATATTTTTTGAAATGATGGAAATATTTTAATTAATTTTACTATATTTATTAATAATTCTACTAATTATTTAGAAAATAAAATATACAAATAATATAAATAACAATATATAATATAACTAACCTAATGCCCAAGTCAAAATCGTTACCAAACAATGGCTATACAACAAAAAGTATTCTTCTTGGGTAAAATTTTGTGCTTCAAATTCAAAGAAAGTAAGATGTAATTGGTGTCAAACAGATATTTAACATTTCTAACATGGGAGTATCTGCTTTGGATTTGTGCAATTGGTAAGAAGCATAAAGACTATGCCAGGACACATAATGCAGCTGATATATTCTTTACAGGTAGTTTTTTAGTTATTTGATTTGGTTTTTTACTTTTCATTTTAAAAAATGTTTTTGAATTTTGGAGTGCTTGGAGTAAATTAATTAGCTGTACACTTTACCGGATATTAATTAATTTTTTTTTACATATTTCATTCATAGATTTTACTACAGAAATATCTGGTAATAAAGCAGCTTTTGTTAACTTACAAAACATTTTTTTAATTTAAACAACATTTTAAATAATAAACTGGCACAACCTATTACAGAGGATCTTCAATCTCCAGCTCTGGTTACCAAGGCAGAAATAATATGGACCTTAAATGTTGTAATGTCACATTTTTCTTTAAGATTGTGCTTAAATTTAAATGAAATATTCAAATATATATTACAATGCCATTAAAGTTTTCATAAAGCAAAACAAAATGTGGCTACCTTATAAATTTTGGTTTAGCACCATACTATTGAGAGCAACTTATATCTGAAGTCAGAGCATCACTTATCTTTGTCATATGATGAGAGTATGAATGTTATCTTTAAAAATGAACAAATGGATTGTGGAGTTAAAAATTGAGATTCAAGTTCTGGTGTTGAAAAAACTAGATATATTGATTGTAAATTCCTCAGACACCCTTATTCACATAATTTATTTGACAAACTCACTGAAGCAACAGAGATGTTTGATCTTGGAAAACTAATTCAAGTATCAATTGATGGTCCTAATTTTAATTGGGAGGTTCTAAAAATGTTAGATGTTATAGACAGGAAAAATGATATTCTGATACAGTTAATATATACAGTTGCAGTTTGCACACTGTTCATGATGCTCTACAGACAGAAATAAATTCCAAAAGTGGGAGTTAGAAGAAATATTTTGTGCAATATTATATCTTTTTTAAAGAGTCACCAGCTAAAATAGATGAATATTTTAGAGTTTGCGAAACTGATCTGCTTGCTTTTCAGTAAGTATGCATATTTAAGCAGAAAATAATAAATTATCTTATCCTTTATATTTATATATAAGTTAAGAGTAAGTTAATAGCTTTCAGCATTTATATTTTTGGATTTTGTTTCACACTTTCTGCGCAACTTGCTGGTTAGAAGATGAAGGTGTGGCTTCTAGAGGCATTATTGTATGGTCAAACATAGTTAAAATTATAAAATCTTGAAAATCACTACAAAAGCAGGCGTCCTAAAATAAGTGCTATTAAGTTCTGGTAGATCATCATCTTCACAGTTTTGTACTTTTGCGAATGCAGTTTTTTAAAGACCTTGCTAAAAAATTGAAAGGATTTCTAGTTCTAGTTTAAACGGACAGACCTATGGTCTGTATGGTACATTTTTAGTTAACAGTTTAGAAAGCATGTTGTGAAGTTTGATAAAAATGATTCTTAAACCAAACATTTTAAATGAAGCTGCAACTGCATATAGTTTAATAAAGATTGAATTAGGTAAATCAAACAAACAGAGTTTATAATGGAATGTAAGCAGATTATCATAGTGTTATTGCAAAAATTACAAGAAAGTTGCCCATTTAAATATTCTTTAGTGGTGAATGCTTCATCTTTGTCTCCAAATGAAATGGTTCAAAACAAGTAAATATCCACTGATAAATTCAAGGCTCTAGCTGAGAGATTGACTGCATTAAAATGGCTTTCAACCAATGATGCAGATGATAAAAACAGCAATATGATAAATTTGTTAGTGCAGAAGGTGTTTAATTTAATGAAAAGTTTGAGTCTTTTAATAAGTTAACTGATTCTTTTGATAAATTTCTTGCTGTCTATTTACACAACGTTCTGAAGTATTCAGTATTGTAGAAAGTCTGTACTTTCATTTTTGTGTTATCTCATGGCCAATCTGCAATAGAACAAGGAAATCTACAAGAGAGATCTTTTATTTCTCAAAAATAGTTTATGATCACATGAATTCTCATGACATTGTTATTCATCAGTATAAGCTCCCCAGCAATCTTTTAAAAAGTTGTAAGCTAACATACAATCACTACAATGCAGTATTGAAAGAAAAAAAGGATCAGTTAAAGGTAGATAAAGTGAGCAAGAAATGTCAATTGATTGATGGAGATATTTTAGTATTAAAAAAAACAGAAAGAAAGTTATAGAAAGTGCATTGAGATTCTCAAATCTTATGCTGACAAGTTAAGCATTGAAGCAAAAGCAAAGAGAGACTTCACTGTCCTTGCAAAAGCAAATTATTTTAGAAACACAGTTTTAGAAAAAGAACAAATAATTAAAGACCTTGATCTTTTATTAAAAAAACTGGAGCAATCCAAAAAAGTGATAAAATAAAAGAGTTGTTATATATATATATATATATATATATATATATATATATATATATATATATATATATATATATATATATATATATATATATATATATATATATATATATATAATTAAACAAACTTTACATAAATATATGTATTTATATATAATTTATATGCAAATTCAAATACATATATTTAGTTGTTTCGTTCTAAGACAATATATTTTACTGGTCCATTTTATTATTGAGAAAAAATCAATAAATCTTTGAATAACCCAAAATTTCCTTGAAAAATCCTGGAAATATCCTGGAATTTTAAATTTACTTTTAGCTGGCCACCCTGTATGCTGATTACATTGAAACATGAATGTAATCAATCTGAAAGAATATGAATTTCATTAAATTCCAATTCTACTATTTTATAAACTCTAATTTCCATTAAAATGTGTTAATTATTATTATATTATTGTTTTTTTTTCCAATAAATATTCACCAAACATGGTTCTTTCCATTGTAATTTGAGTTAGTATATTGACTTATATTGAATTATATTTAATCCTGATTGGTTATTTAAACTTACCTGAAGGTTTATTTAAACTTAAACAAAGCCATTGTCCCAAGTAACACCTTGTTGTCGGTTTTAAAATTTCTTAGCTTTTTAAAAATGTGGTTAGCACTTCTTAAAACATCCATCTATAGTATTCCATGAATTCCCCTACAAGTATTATATATACTTGGAAAAATATTGTATAAATTGCTAGAGATATAACAATTTTATAAAATATATTGTGTTGAAAATGATGCATAGTTTACGAAAGCATTTGTAAATTTTTAAAATTTAAGTTTTTGAAAGAGGTTAGAAGTAAATCATTTTAAAACTATGCCAAATTTTTTTTATTTGTTTGGTTTTTTTACTTTATATAATGTACATGCTAGGTTTAAATAAAAATTTAGAAAGAGATTTCAATCTCTCTACCAAATTTAAAAAAGTATATTTTAAGTACAACATTTTTTAAATTAATACTTGTATAATCTCTTTTTAGACAACAAGGAATCTTGTTTTGTCCTCTTGATAGAAAAGTAATCGATTTAGATAAAGTAAGTTGTTATTGTTTACAGTGTTGAATAATATGTAAAACTGTTTTCTAAAAAAAAGGTCTTTGCCCTTGTTTTTAAATGATGATTCTTTACTTTACAATGAGGAACTTACTTACTCATCTTACTTTTAAACAAGAATTGTTTTTTGCTCATCTTACTATAATAACTTATCTTACTAAAATAGAATTTTTATTATCGCAAACAAATACATTTTCTTGTAATTGTACTAATAAGTTCATTTGCAATTGGCACTTAGCAAAAAGTTTTACATACCATAGAACGACAAGTTCCTAAATTAAGTTTCACTAATTTCCAGAACATCAAGCATTTCTATTTAAAAGATGAAACTCTTTCAAAAATTCTAAATGTTGTGTATTTTCATTGATTTAGTATTCTGATGAGTTGGTAGTAAAATCTTTGCTAAAAATTGATATGACATCATTATTCTATAAATGGTTATACTTTAATGTTAGTTAAAATTTAATTAACTCATTGACTCCATCAACTGATAACAACTACTCTCCCCAAATTTTTTTCATATTCCATATAACAACAAGAAAAGTAGTAAATTTTGAAAAAAGCGATGAAAAGCTAAAACCAAACAAAAGTTTTTTTTGGTTTATACATTGCTTAGTGTTTTTTAAATAGGGTGGTTCAAAAGGTAAGTAGAAGATTGAGCCTTATACTTGTGGGGAAAAAAAAGAGTAAGGGATTTTTAAAAAATAGTTAAGAAAAAAAAAAGTTTAAGACTGTAGTTTAAAGTTTTGTTTCAAAAAAAAAGGAAGGCAATTATGTTTTTTTTAAGTTTAGTAGTTATATATATATATATATATATATATATATATATATATATATATATATATATATATATATATATATATATATATATATATATATATATATGTAGAAATAATATCGAAAAACTAGCAAAGAAGTAGAACATGAGAGGAGTGTTGCTACATCAACTAACAAATAGGTAGAACATGCAACAAGTGCATAGCATGCATTGACTGAGGGTTTGGTTTTGGGCAGGGAGTTTATCCATTTAAAAAAATTGAATCATAATCATTTTCTTAATTTTCAACATTATTCAATTTTTAATTATTTCAATGTTAATCATTTTCTTCTAATTTCAATCTTTTAATGCTTTTAAGATTTTTTATACCATTTCTTTTTTCACAATTTTGATTTTATTCTCTATTTGGATATTAATCTGAAAAGTCCCTTTTCAAATTAGTTCAGTTTGGCTGTTTCGATACTGTTACTATTACCCCCTAAAAACAAGAATGATAATTTTATGTTGTAATATTGTTGTAAATGTTTTTTTTTTACTCAAATTAAAATAAATACAAATGACTTTTAAGCAAGAAAAATATAATAAAATTAAAACTAAAATTAATATACTTTGTTTTTAGATCTTTCTAGATAAAGCAGCAAACAGAGCAATATTATCATCTCCTGTTAAATGTCGTTATTTTGAACGTGAGTGCGATTGGGTTGGAGACTTAAGGTCTATTGATGTAAGTATTTTAAATTTATATATCTATGCAATAAATGTAAAAAAGACTCTAAGACTTTAAAAATTACTTGCAATCAATTTTTTTTGTTAAATTTCATTTTATATGATTTGTTGTATTTTTCTTCGTGTATGCATGGTGTGAACTGTTTATGAGTTATTTTGCTAAATTATTTTTAAATACTTTCTAAATTATTTAAAGAATCATATTACAAGCTGTGCTTATGTGGAGGTAGCATGTCCAAATGAATGTAAAAGTTTTATTTTGCGTAAAGATTTATCATGTCATCTACAGTTAGATTGTGAGTACCGAATTGTTGAGTGTCAATATTGTTGGAAAAAATGCTTTTTTAATAGTTTTCAGGTTTGTTCTTATTTTACAATTTTTTCATTTCACCATGATTTCATTCACCATTTTGAAGTTTTTATATAATTTTTTTTTACCTTAATCGTTGTTCTCCAAATAATATGATTATTCAGTTTACTTTTTCAGAATTTTATATTTTTCTTTCAACTTATTGAATAATAAAAATTTTAAACAGTTTCAGTATCTAAAACATTGAATTTTTTTAATTATATTTCATTATTTAAAACATATTTTCAGCGTAAATAAATTAACAGCTTGATGCTGTTTGACTTAAGTGATAATTTATTTAATATAACTAAAATAGTTTTCTATTTAGGACACTGTAAAAGTGCTGGTTACTATATGATGGAAAACCGAAAACCCAGTCGTATTTACAATAATGTTGCTATTAAATCTTGGAACTCTACTTATGAGTTCTTAAAAATATTCTTAAAGCACTATAATAAGGGAGCATTCATAAAGTATGTAGACATTTGTACGTTTTTGGGGAACCCTCTTCCCCCATACATAGGTACAATGTCCATGGAATACTAGATCATAAAAAAATTAGAAATAGAAATGAAAAAAAATTAAAATTCTTAAAACAATTTCAAAATACAAAAAATATCTATAAAATTCTTAAAACAATTTCAAAATAATAAAATTCTTAAAACAATTTCAAAATACAAAAAAGTTCAAAGAAACATTACTTTTAAAAGCATATAAAAAATGCAACTGATGACATTATAAGAGAAATAAGCGGGAACAAGAAAACTAAATCAAATAGTTTAAAGCTCAAATCGTCATAAACATTATAAAGTACAAAAATACAAGTAATTTTATAAAAAATATTTTAACCAAAAATATAAAACATTTAACAATAAATATACCTGTCACCTTTTGAATAAATATTAGATTACCTCATATTTAATACTAACAATTTTATTGACATGTAACTTTAAAGAAAAAGGTTTTAAATAAACTTGAAGAGATATTCTAGGTAACTCAATGTTATGCGTGATGTCAAAGATTGGAATGTGTTTTTGTTGTGTCTATTAACCTCATGTTGTATATGACCTTTAATTTATTTTTTTGCTCAAAGTTTGTGAATGTCTAGTTCTGCTTATACTGATTCTTAAGTTAAAATTAAGTTAAAAACTTTTTAGTTTAATATTTAGTTTTAATATAAAGATGCAGACATGAAGCAAACTCCAAACATTATATATATATATATATATATATATATATATATATATATATATATATATATATTGTATACTATATTATATGTTTTTACTTATGTCAAATAATGATGCTTTGCAAAAAGTTGTGATGATTGGAGACTGGGAACAAAAAACCCCTAAAGTTTCATATACAAAATGTGTAAAACTACGTTTCATTATTGATATAAACTGTTAAGATATAAATTCTTTTTGAAAAATATAGGTATGTCCTACTTTTATATATATATATATATATATATATATATATATATATATATATATATATATATATATATATATATATATATATATATATATATATACATATATATATATATATATATATATATATATATATATATATATATATATATATATATATATATATATATATATATATGTATATATATATATATATATATAAAGTTGCTTATACTAATATTTTAAAGCCAATGTATAATAATAATTTTATAAGCCTAATAATGAAAAATAGTTTTTATACATTTTTGGTAGTTTTTTTATGATTGAATTGCTTAAATCATCTTCCAAATAAAAATCACTGTTTCATAAAAACATTGATTTATAATGATTTGTTTTGTTTTCAAATATTATACAACATATAAATTGAAGAAATGTTTATCAGTTATAAATGGTAATGGGATATCATTTATATTTAGCTCATCTTCCTGAAACATTTCTACAAATAAGCAAAATGGGTAATATAAAAACTTTGAGGTAGAATCATAGCAGATTTTACATAATTCATTCAATATTTTAATATGTTACATTCTCTTCGTTTTTAATCAAGATAAACTCATTGATGTTAGGACAAATAGTTTTGTTACAAGTTGAACAATTGAATTATCTGAAAATCTTTAATTAAAAATTTAAAAACAGCTGAGCCCATTGCATTCTGTATCAAGAGTACTGAAAGTTAATGAATCATTTGGTTTTAATCTCATAACAAGAAGAATCTATATAGTTTTTACCATATTCACAACTTTCTATATTTTACCCATTCACAACTTTCAATAAGAGAATGTATATCAAGTTTTATTTTGAGCTTTTATTATTTAAGCTCAAATAAAGTAATCGCATTTTAATTTTGAGTTAAATTTTAATTGTGTAGTTTTCATATTGTTTTTTAACATCCTTGAGTGATGTGTTTTAGAAAGGAAAAAAAAGGGTCAAAAATGTATGTAAGTTGGACTCTTTTAAAACAATTAAAAATAAAAGCAAATAATAAATTGTGCTAGTTTACATAATTTTACTAAAAAAGAAAAAGAAAGTTTAATAAGATAATAAAAAAGAAAATTAAAACAGATAATAAAAAAGAAAAAGAAAATTAAAATATATAATGAAAAATGATTTAGATTTGAGCTGTTCAAGTTTTTCTTGATGATCTGGGGGGAATATTTCCACATATAAGATGCATGGTGTTGGACTGAGTAGGAATTTAGCTTTAATGTAAATTTTGGGATGTCAAATTTGTTATATGAGAATCTAGTAGGGTATTCATGGTGATGCTTTTAAGGCAGATCACATACATAAAAAATTCTTTTAAGCATTAATTTTAATGTTTTAATTTTAAGCATTAATTTATAATTAATAAAAAAGCTAAATATATGTTATAGTTGGTGAATAAACCATAGGTACTCTATTGATACTTTGTGGAAGCTTTCTTGAGTGTGTCTATAAATATGACCATAACATTTTAAAATATGTATACTGTTTAGAACCACTTAAACAAGTGCCCAGAGCAACCAATAGAGTGTGTGAACAAATGTGGAAAAAAAGATATATTACGTGTTATGGTATTTTTTTAAATAATATTATTGAAAAAAAATGTTTTGTCCTATTATACTACAAAAAATGTTAAAAAAAAAGATAAGTTTGTAATTTATAATTTAGATGAATAATCATGTTGAAAATGATTGTCCATTAAGTCTTCAACCTTGCCAATTCTTAAAAGTTGGGTGTGTTTTCAAGGTATTTAATTCTATTTGCATAATAATGTACTGTGATTGTTAATACTAAATTATATTAATAGTAAATTATTATTTTTTAATTAATATATATTGTTTTACTTTCGAGTCCTTAATACAAGGGGAGGGGAGACATTAATTTTTGGAAAGTTTTCCCACCCACTTTAAGCTTATTAAGATTCCCCTGTTTATTAATTTTAACTTGTTACCAACAAAAATTTAAATTTGTTAATTAAAAAATTTGTGAAAATCGGCCTTGAAAAATTGACAATATTTATGTCAGTCAGTGATAAAAAAAAAAAAAACTTTCCATGTAAGCAGGCTTTAAAATTCTTTGACCTAGTAAATCTCCATTATTTAAAATAAGCTTTTGCTTTATTTCTCACCAAAGTATTACACTTATATCAGCATATTAAATCCTATTGAAATTATGATAATGCAGTTGTTAGAAAATGCTCATTTGACCGCACACGAGAATTAAATAGTTTTATGTGGGCTTTGTAAAAAATATTAGCTTGAATTTATAAACTATATACTATCAATACAAGTCCCTGTTAGTTAGATTTGAGAAAAACCCCCCTCACTTCCCACCTACCTTTTAAAAACCCCACCCACTCGTTGTATTAGATCTGGACTAAAATACCTATTCCCCCCCTTCTTTTTAATTCCCCCTTCTCCTCCCTTGTATTAAGGCTCTAGATAATGCCTCTTTTAAAATCTATTGTTTTTTACTCCTGAAGATGAAATTTTAACTCCAGACCTATAAATTTTAAATCCAAATCCCTTCTCATTGCATTTTAGATGCTACACTTTAATTTTTAATTATATAATATATATATATATATATATATATATATATATATATATATATATATATATATATATATATATATATATATATATATATACATATATATATAATAGAGTGGTTCAAAAAACAACTTTTTTTAAAATAATCTGCTGCATTTAACTAAATGTGTTCTATATAATACAAAAACACTAGGTTTAAAATTTTTTTGAATAAAAATATTTTTAAGGGTGCCTCAAGACCCTCAAAAAATTGACGGGTCCCTAATATTTTGAAAAAAAAAGTTTTTTTAAAGTATGTCAACCTGGTACTCAAAAGAAGCAAAATTATATAAAAATTTCAAAAATAATAATCAATTTTAATAAAAAATGTTTAAAAAAACTATTTACAAAAAACTTTAACATATTGACATTTTTATTTTCATCTTAAAAACAATAGTTTTTTAGGCAATTATATCTGAAAAAAGTATTTTTATGTAAAATGATTATTATTTTTGAAGTTTATATATAATTTTGCTTGTTTTTTTAAAGTTGTTTTTTGAACCACCCAAATATATATACACACACACACACACACACACACATATATATATATATATATATATATATATATATATATATATATATATATATATCTACATATGTATATATATATATATATATATATATATATATATATATCTACATATGTATATATATATATATATATATATATATATATATATATATATATATATATATATATATATATATATATATATATATATATATATATATATATATATACACACATATATATATACATATATATATATATATACATATATATGTATATATATATATATATATATATGTATATATATATATATATATATATATATATATATATATATATATATATATATATATATATATATATATATATATATATATATATATTTAACATCTTCGCTTCCAACAAGGCTACAAGCAACAACTAATTAGTGTTGGAAGTTACTGGAAGAGAAAAGATGAAGGTTGTAGAGCAAGATAACGATTGACAGATGACTTAAAAGATTGCAAATTATATGAATCAGGAAAGCA